CAACTGGACCAGGAAACAATATCACAATAAACGGAGAAAAGATTGAAATTGTCAAAGGTTTGATATTACTTGATTCCACTATCAGCACCAATGGAAGCAGCAGTCAAGACAGCAGATGATGCATTGCACTGGGAAAATCTTCTGCAAAAGACCTGATTAAAGTGCTGAGGAGATACCTCTTTGAAGACTAAGGTGCACCTAACCCAAGCTGTGGTATTTTCATTCACCTCATATGCATGTGAGAGCTGGACAATGAGTAAGGAAGATTGAAGAAGAATTGATGCTTTTGACTTGTGTTGACAAAGAATACTGAAAGTACCATGGACTGCCAGAAGAACTAACAAATCTGTCCTGGGAGAAATACAGCCAGAATTCTCCTTGGAAGCAAGAATGGCCAGACTTCATCTTACCTACTTTGGTATGTTGTCAGAAGGGACCATTCCCTGGAAAAGAATACCATGCTTAGTAAAGTGGAGGGTTAACGAAAAAGGGGAAGGTCCTCAACAAGATGGATTGACACAGTGACTGCAAAGATGAGCTCAGGTATAGCAGGGATTGTAGGCTGGCACAGGGGTCGACTCGACAGCACCTAACAACAACAACCAATTCTAGCAGTCAGCTAGATTCTCTCTAAAACCAAACCTACTGCCATTAAGTCAATTCCAACTAATAGAGAGCCTGTAGGACAGATTAGAACTGCCCCATAGCATTTTCAAGGCTGTAAATCTTTAGAAAGCAGACTGCCTCATGTTTCTCCTGCTGAGCAGCTGGTGGGTAAGAACCACTGACCTTTCGGTTAGCGGCTGAATGCTTTCACCACTGTGCCACCAGAGCTCCTTCAGGTAGATTCAGTGCAGGAAAATTCTAGTATTATATAATTTAGACAGTACCACACAACTTATTGACCTTAATTTTATTTCTTTGTAAATGTATTACTGTCATGAATTGAATTATGGCCTTCCAAAATTTGTGTGGACTTTGCTGGGCTATGATTCTCAGTGGTTTAGAAATTATGTAATGTTGTAATGTGGCAGATATGTAATGATACCCCATGTGATCTGATGTGATAAGCCAACCAGGTGTAAAAGGATGAAGATTAAGAGTGGGTTGCAACACCCTTAGCCCCATCCCAACCTTGATCAGATGTAAGTTTCCATGGGGTGTTGGCTTGTAACAGCTTTTATCTTACAAGAGATGAAAGGAGAGAGAAGGGAGACCTGACACAGAGAAAGAGGAGCCAGGAACAGAGCACATCCTTTTGACTCAGGGTCCCTGTACTGCTATCGCCCTAGGAACAAGAGACACAGAGAGAAAGTCTTTCCCTAGAGCTGGCACTCTGAACTCAGACTTCTAGCCTCCTGAACCGTGAGAGAATAAATGTCTGTTTGTTAAAGCCATCCACTTGTATTTCTGTTACAACAGTACTAGAGAACTAAGACAATTTTTGGCCAAATGCCAAAAATTTTACATTATTCCATCTCAGAAATTATCAGTGAGGTTGTAGAGTCTGTTACAAAGACAGAAAGTGTCTCTCAGTATTACTCTATAAGAGAATTGGCACCTCTGGGGTTTTTTTTTTTGCTCCACTGTAGAAGGGAGTTCTATTGGTGTAGTGGTTAAGGCATTCAGCTGCTAACCAAAAGGTTGGCAGTTCAAACCTACCAGCTATTCTACAGGAGAAAGGTGAGGCAGGAGATTTACAGCCTTGGAAACGCTGAGGCAGATCTACTCTGTCCTAAAGGGTCACTACGAGTTAGAATCAGCTTGATGGCAGTGGGTTTATTATTGTTTTTTCATGTATATAGATATAGATGATTTTTAAAGACAAATAGTTTTTAGCAACAAAAATAAAGTTCTTATAACCCCAAAATCTTATTCTCCAAAGGCAACCACTTTTCAGATCTTGGCTATTTTTCTTCTGTTTCTACTATGAAAGATGAGAATTTAGACATCCTATAGTCTACTCCACCCTCATCACACGCACACTCTCTTCCTTCTTCCAATAATACAATAAGAGTTTGTTTTTCTCTTCCTATAATGTTCAGTACTGGTGTTTCTGGCATTGTGGTTATTCAGCATTGGGTCATGGTTCTAAGTATGGTCTGAGGATACCAGGGGTGTTCTCAAGACCCCACGGGGTTCATGAGATCTAAAATATTTTTTTTACATGACTAAGGTATTTATGTCTTTTTCACTCTTATTCTTTACAAGTGTACAATGAAGTTTTCTACAGGCTGTGTGACATATGATGACATCATCATACTGATAGTTACTGGAATGTATGCTTATGTATTCTTGTTTTCTAGAAGTTTCTAAGGTAATGGTAACTTACCAAATTGAATGCAGAAACAGATAAGAGAATTCAGCTGTCTTCTATTAAGCCACACATCAAAGAGACTTACAAAAATATAAAAGAATGCCACTTGCTAAATATTTTGTTTGGAAAAGAGTTATTTTTCATTTTAAAAATTATTTATGTTAGTATGAATTGGGTTTATTATTTTTTGCAATAGACCATGAACAGGTATTGATGACTCATTAGTTAGAAATAGTAAGCAATAGTACCTACCACATTTTAAAATACCACTTTATAGAAGTTACTCTTGGTTTCAATACTTAAGATTTATTATGCTTTCATTTATTTTACCTTAATATCTTTAATTTGACATACTTAAAGAAGTATCTGTTATTTAATATTATAATATTAAAACCTTCATTAGCTTCAATCCAGTTGGCCCGAATTTTGTCCCTGTATTCTCAGAAGAAAGCAAACTTACATCAAGAGTTTGATCAGCATTTTATTTCAACAAATAGGTATCAAGCATTTGCACTTGGGTGCTTTGAGAGAAAGAAATTTAGGAGGGTCTTTGTCAAATTGACATGGCCTTGGTAGAGATTCATCTCAGTGTCTTACACTTTCAACATCCATACCTCTATGTTATGAGAATTAATGTTCAGATTCATGACTCTTAAGTAACTCCAAAATTCTCAGGGATCAAAAAAAAAAAAGAGATTTTGTGCACTAGATTTAACTAAGACAAGAAAGATGCTGGAATATCTCAGAAACAGAACAAGAGGAGATTTTTCAAATTAATGCTATGTCAAATAGTAAATATATTTAACATAATTTCATGTAGCACTTTTAAATTTATTAAGTGATTTAGCATGTATTGTTTCATTTAATCCTTATGCTATCCCTATGAGTTAGATCTCATCTTCACTTTATAGATGGCCAGCTAAAGCTTTCAGTTTTCAGTTGCTGACTTGCTCAATTTCAGGCTAGGTGGGGGCCACATGCTGACGTGTGTAAAGGGAGGGATGGTATAGAAAGAGTCTGCGACCACCATGATAACATTAGGAAAATGGAGGACACCGAATTGTGCACATAAGATATAGACAATAGATGCTAATACCAACCAGTATATCCACAATACTGCATTACCATTAACACCAAACGCCAGGCTATAGATAAACACATAAACATCTGAGAAGATTGGATGGGGGTCAGTGAACAGGATCATACTACTCTAGACCAAGGTTAGATTCAGCTAAGGCTAATCTTACACAGATACCAGTGATACAAAATACCCAGAATCCTTACAGAAACAATAGAAGACAGACATAGAGCAATCCCTCACAGACAGCCAAAAACTGTGGAAGAGAGATCCAACGGCTTTACTAATTCAGGACCATAGTACTAGGGGACGCCAGACTCATTTAGCACAACAAAACATAAAAAGTTTGTTCTTCATCCTACATTGGTGAATAGTGACTAGGGTCTTAAAAGCTCTCAAGTGGACATCTAAGATGCAGCTAATGGTATCCTATCATCAGAAGTGAAGAAGAGTGCAGAAAACCAAGGGCATTTGGAAGCAATCAGCCCTAGGACATGATGGACCTTGAGACCAGAAGAACTAGATGGTGCCTGGCTACCAGTGCCAACCACTCAGGAAAGGATCAGAACTGGAGATCCTGGATAGAGTAGGAGGAAAAACATGGAACAAAATCCAAAAACACATTAATGCCCAGAATCACTGGTCAGATGGAGTCTGGTGAGACCTCCAATACTATGGCCCTGGGATACATTTTAGGCCTGGAATAAAACTCACTCCCAGGGGCTGGCTCTCAGCCCAGTAGTAAATAAGATGTACATGCAGACCACTCAACTCAGGGTGAGGTACCCACATACTCTATAGAGAAATGGACCACGGGGCACCAGAGGGGCAACATTCACATGGAGGAAGTGCAGGACACATAGGAGTACATAACTATAAGGGGCACGGGGTGGGGGTTACTGGGCAGGGATGGGAGGAGACTGGGTTAGGGTTGAGGATGGTAAATGGGGAGTGAAACTAAATGTACATGAAATATTGAACGTAATACAAACTCTGTAAACTTGCACCTAAAGCACAGTTTAAAAAAAAAAAAAAAGCATACAGGATGGAGTGAGGTTTAGGTGTTCAGACTTCCAAACCTTTTTCTTTACTGTATAAAAATACCATATTCCTCAAGGATTCAAAGTAGTTGAAGATCTGCTACACATTAAGATATTTTGGACAGCGTGACAGCACCTAGCATAGGACCTTTGCCATAAAAAACCCTCCATTGTTAACCCAAATCGCTGGAAAAAATAAATAAGAATTCTAATTCTGATTATTGATGATAAAAACTTCATGAGAACTTCAAGTTTGAATTTTTGCGTGAAAGGGAGGTTTTTGTTTGAAACTCTCTTCAGGACTGTAATCTCTGATTATAATAATGGGGATACATTTGTAACGTTCAACAGATACCTAAAGTAAATGATAATGTAATGTGTAGGCAAGAGTAATTTCTTAATGCACTATTGCAAAAGTTGTATTATAAGAGAGATTCACCTACATATACTGATTCAGAGTCTGATAGCAAACTAGGGAATAATACTAGAACAGAACTTTTAGCCCTCAGTCATGAGTCTAATTCATTTGATTACCAATTTTCTTATTTCTTATCTCTCCCCATAGGTTTGTAAAAGAATGGACTTGGTTTGCCAGAGAATGTTGAATCAAGGATTTCTGAAAGTGGAGAGGTACCATAATCTATGTCAGAAACAAGTTAAAGCACAACTTCCAAGGTATGTCATGGCTAGCAATGGCAATAATTTATAGTTGGTACTTTTGTTTGCTTCTTGATTATTTTAAATCTTAGTAAAGGTTTACATATATGAAATGTAAGATAAGCCATGGTAAAAAGCAATTTGACCTTTGGTCTTGATTCTTGAGAGCCTGGTCACACGTGAGGTTAATGAATGGGGACTGACCAGACCAAGAGGGACCACCACAGGCTGAATGTTGACTAAGCTTCAGAAAAAAAAAACAAAACTCACTGCCATCGAGTCGGTCCTGACTCATAGTGACTCCTCGTGGGTTTCCAAGAAGGAAGGCTGGGCAATCTACTTCCATAATGATACTGCCTCAGAAACCCAGGAAGGGTCGCTATGAGTCGGGTCTGACTCAATGGCACATAACAACAACATCATCTCTACAGAAGTAGATTGCCCAACCTTCTCTCCGAGGAGTGGCTGGTGGGTTTGAACCTCCAGCCTTTTGGTTAGCAGTCAAATAAATGCCTTAGCCACTATGCGCTAGAGCTCCTAAACTTCAGAAGGCATGATATAATCTGTCATGGCCAGTGGGGAGGCCAGTAAAAGCCTAGACCGCTAAGGCATAGATGAGCTCCTGGTTGGTGACCATGAACAGAAGAGAGAAACTAAGTGCTAACCCTCCCAGACCTCACCCTCACATCTCTTTCTTTGTATCCCTTTTTGGTTGTAATAAATCTGTAAGTATGGTCTACTCTCCATGCATTCTGTGAGTCATTCCAACAAATTATCATGGGTTGGTAACTGCCTGTTTGTGAGCTCTTTTAACTTGTGAGCTCTGACCCAGCTCCAGGTGGCTAAAATCAGAGAAATGCTGCATTTATAGCTGGTCTGAAAGATGTCCTTGCTTATGAGCTCAGCTCCGGGTGGCTAGAGTCAAAGAGAGAGTACCACTTTAGGCAGCTTGCCAGAAGGATGGAGAAGTAGGAAAGTGAGGATTGGTGCCATACATATGTTGAGGATTGAATTCATGCTGATCCTTATCATGCTGTTGGTGACAAAGGTGGAATTTACCCACTCTGCCCTTTGGTTAGTGCAACATGTTAAATGCTCACGTTTTTGTAGCACAGAGTACACAGATTGCAGTGAGTGATTTCTGCTACAGTTTGTCCACTCTTGCCACTTCTATTCAACATTGTAATGGAGGATCTACCCTGGGAAATTAGGCAGGAAAATAAAGAAAAAGGTACCTACATTGGGAAGGAAGAAGAAAAACTTTATTTATAAATGACATGATCATGCATTTAGAAAATTCTAAGGAATACACTAGGTAATTTATTAGAGTTAGTAAATTAATTCAACAGAGATATAGAATATAAGATCAATATACAGACAATCCCCAGGTTACATCCCTGTAGTTATGACTCAACCCTTGTAAAGCCTTCTGTCTTCCTCCCAGCTCTCTGGATCCATCCTGATAGGAAATGATCTGTTGCTGCCTGGTTGATCATAGCTCCAGATGATCATAGCTTCAGACACAGCATGCTTCAAAACCACTTCCTCCTCCTCCTTCTCCTCTTCCTCCCCAATACCTGCTCTTGTTCTTTGCAGCCCCCACTGGCTGCAGCCTTCCCCTCCACAATGGGGAAGTTCTACTCTGGCTCTTTTTCAGTACCACCTCCCCACCACTTCTCCCCAAACCACCTGCCCTCCTGTCCCATGACCATCCTCCTTGGACCTCAAGAAGTTTATTCCTAACCTACAGATTGGGAAAAAATATTTGGTAATGACATATCTGACAAGGGACTTATCTCTAGAATTTATAGAAAACTCCAACACCTCAATAACAAAAAGACAAACAACCCAGTTAAAAAAATGGGCAGAAGACATGAATAGACACTTCACCAAGGAGGATATTCAAGAGGCCAACAAACGTATGAAAAAGTGCTCATGATCATTAGCTATTAGAGAGATGCAAATCAAAACAACAGTGAGATACCATCTTGTTCCAGCACTAGTAGCAAAGTTCAACAAGGCACAAAATAACAAATGCTGGCGAGGTTGTAGAGAGATTGGGACTCTCATACACTGCTGGTGGGACTGTAAAATGGCACGACCATTGTGGAAAGCAGTATGGCGATTCCTTCAAAAGGTGAGGCTAGAAATACCATTTGACCCAGCTATTCTATCACTAGGTATATATCCTAAAGAAGTGAGAACCATGACAAAAACAGACATATGTACACCCATGTTCATCGCAGCACTATTTACAATAGCCAAAAGATGGAAACAACCTAGGTGTCCATCAACTGAGGAATGGATAACCAAACTATGGTACTTACACACGATGGAATACTATGCAACATTAAAGAATAATGTAGAATCTGTAAAATACTGCATAACGTGGATGAACTTGGAGGACATTATGCTGAGTGAAATAAGTCAATCACAAAAGGGCAAATATTGGAAAAGTCAAGGAAAGGTTAATCTATGGAAGGAAATTTTCTTTGTTGGTTACTAGGAATGGGAGGGAAGGGTAGGGAACACTATTAGTTAGAAAGAGGTAAGTATTGATTTGGGTGAAGAGAAGGGCAATGTACCAAATGTTAGTGATAATTATGGTGGCATTGAAGAAGAGAAAGACAGAGAGAGCTACGTGGGAGGTACAGATGACAAAGATGAACCCTTTTGCACATATAGTACTGTGTTGTCAGTGAAGGCAAACATGGGTATAGGGGTGGATAGATGGGTGGACAGGCTGAACTATTAGGCATGTCTATGAAGCGGGTAGTGTACCCAAAGCATATAGGGTTGGCAGACAGCGGCCTGTAAGTTTATGTGTATGATCTGAGTTCCCAGGTGTATAGTAGAGCTGACAAGGGGCAAGGTTGAAGTCACTGTTAGGTCACAGCCAGCTACCCAGAGGAACTGAGTAGTTGAACCTTTGGGCCTGGGGCCATAGTCGCAGAGGACATCAAGCTCAATTGGTGTAACATACTACACAAAACATTGTTCCACCTCCTACTTTGGCGAGTAACGACTGGGATCTTAAAAGCTTGGAAGCTGCCATCTGGATGCAACAATGGGTCTCTCCTCGTCCAGAGCAAAGAATGAAGAAAACCAAAATTCATGGAAACAGTTAGACCTAGCGACTGGTACACCATACAATCTGCAGCCTATACAACTGAGACCAGAAGAACTAGATGGTGCCCGACTACCACAGTCATCCACTTGGAAGGGGATCTTTGTAGGAGATCCTGGATAGAGGGAGAACAAAACTCAAAATCATTTGGAGAAAAAAAAAGGGAGGGACCAGGTTTGCTGGTCTGATAGAGCCTGGTGGAACCGCTGAGACTATGGCCCCTAGCTGCCCTTTATGTCTGGAATTGAAACCACGCCTGTGGCTTCCAGCCAAACAGTAGACAGGCATAGGAGTTGAACATTTACCTAAGGTAGATACACTTCTTGGAGAGAACAGTCATGGGAGAAAGAAGAGCTGTTTATGCACAGGGAGACAGCTCAGGAGGCAGGAGTGCATGGAGGGATGGAAGGTGACTATCGGGAGGAAGTAGGAGGGAAGCTGTTGCATTGTGGTAAATTGTGGTCAGTGTCGTGAGACAAAGTATATGTGAACTGCTATATGGAAAGTGAATTTGCTCTGCCAATTTTCACCCAAATCACAATTTAAAAAAAAAAGCTTATTCCTCCTGCCCTCTGCCCCTTCTTCCTCCTCTTCTTACTCCAGGGTGACAGCAGCTGCCAACCTGGTCTTGGCCAGCTGTGCCCAGCCAAGAACTGGAAAGGCCTTGGCCCCATGCCCCATGCCACTGCAGCCACTGCTGCCAGGGCCAGCTGCCAGCTCTTGCCTCAGCAGAGTTCCAGTCTCCCTAGCCAGTTGCTCTGCCTGGCACACCAGCTGGCTTGCACTTTGTCTCCCCTGGCTCAGTGCACATTTTGAAGCATTATTACTGTGTAGTTGGCCCTCTATATCCACGGGTTCTGCATCCATAGGTACAATCAATCGTGGATCAAAAATTTTGGGAGGGAAAGCAATTAAGTAGTCAGTCAAAGTAGTCCTTGAAAAGCTATGAGGCAATGTAAATGATACATACATGGCATTTGCACTGTATTAGGTATAAGTAATCTATAGATGATTTAAAATATATGGAAGGAAGTGCATAGGTTATATGTAAATACTATACCATTTTATATAAGGGACTTAAGCATTTGTGGATTTTTGCATGAGAAAGGGTGGTGGTCTGGTTACGTAGTGCCACTCTGACAAGAATATACCACAAATGGGATGGCCTTAACAAACAGGAGTTTATTCTCCAGTTTGAAGGCTTTAAAGCCAAGTTCAAAGTGCCAGGCTCTAGGGGCTGGGTGAAAGCCCCTCAGCCTTGGGCTTCAGCTCTGTCTGCAGCTCCCAGCCCACTGAAGCTAGAGGCTTTTCTTCACTCAGACAGCTGCTGGCTGCTGAGGCTGCCAAGCCGACGGTTGACAAGTAAAAAGGCACAGTCCCGACGTTACCAAACCACACGGCACGCCATTTATTCAAGTCCATTTTAAGTTTCAGAGTGTCTCATTGTAAGTCCGCAGGACAGCAGAGCATGCCAGACTACTGAAAAACGACCCGGCTACCTGCAGCGTTCAAGCGTGCTATAAGCTAGAGACCATTCCCCAAGGCTTCTCCTTATATACAGGAAGCAGACCACAGTCCCTAAGGCAGCTGCTCACAGTAGATTCTGCCATGGAGTTGATTACCAGTCTCATCATGGGGAATACTACATCCAGCTGTCCAGCCACTCAACCAGGCCCAGCCAAGTTGACACACAAACTGAACTACCACAGGTGTCTTGAAACCAATGCCCTACAGATACTTTGAGATGACTGTATTATTAAAGATGTTTTAGTGTATCTGGAAGTTTTTCTTTAATGTTTTTTATACATGGAAGGCTATTCTATAAACTGAGACAAACATTTGAGTAACTGACATTAGAAATGAACTCTACCTAACTGTTCCAACTTACATACAAACTTGACTTAAAGAGACATAGGAACAAAACTCATTTGTAATCTGGGGACTGCCTGTACAAAAATCAATTGTATTTCCATACATCAACAATAAACGATCTGAAAATTAAACAAGACAATTCCATTTACAGCAGCACCAAAAATTTTCAAATATTTGAGATTGAATATAACAAAAGAAGTATCAGATTTATTTACCAGAAACTATAAAATGTCATTGAAAGTAACTAAAGACAACTTAAGTGGGAAAACATCCCATGTTCTTGGATTAGAAGACTTCTTAATAATTATTAAGATGGTAATACTCCCCAAATTGTCTACAGATACAATGAGTATCTTGCCAGGTCCTAAAATTCATATAGAAACTAGAGACCCAGACTAGCCAAAACAACCTTCATAAAGATAAAAATTTGAAAGCCCAAAAATAAACCTTTACATTATATTGTGTGCCATGGAGTTGATTTGACTCATAGCAACCCTATAGGACAGAATAGAAGACTGAACAGTGGGTTTAAGCACTGAACTTTTAGTTAGCAGCTGAGCACTTAACCATTGCACCACCAGGGCTCAGTTGATTTTGACAAAAATGCCAAGATAATGCAATGGGGAAAGAATAGTTTTTTCCACAAATGGTGCTGAGGCAACAACCGAAACGAAGAAGTGGGACCTCTTTCTTATACCACCTACAAAAAATTAACTCAAAATGAATTATATGCCTAAATTTAAGAGCTAAACTATAAAATTCTTAGAAGAAAACATAGTAGTACATGTGTTACGGCTCTTTAGAGAAATTGTACCCAGTGAGTCGTATGTGTGTGTGTGTATGTATGTGTATATAGAGAGAGAAACCTGTGAGAGCCAGAACTCAAAAGGACTGCCTTGTTTTTCTGGGTCTCTCAAGTTTTCCACCTTTGATAGGGTGCATTCATACTTTTTTGTCACTCTCTGTTTAGCGTAAGATACTTGAGTTTCTGCTTTTGTAGATTTTACTGTATGTATATATAGAGAGAGAGAGAAAGACATTTACTTCAGGATATTGGCTTAGTCGGTTGTGGGGGCTGACAAACCCAAAATCTGTAGTTCATGCTGCAGGCTAGAGATTCCTGCTGGTTTATGAAATTGTGGGGAATTGGCAAGTTCAAAATCTGTCAAGTCAGGCAGCAGCTGGAGACTTCTGCAGGTTTGCATTCCAAGATCCATAGGTCAGGTGACGGAAAAATAAATTGGACTTCATCAAAATTAAAAGATTCGTGTTGCAGAAGACACCATCAAGAAAGTGAAAAGACAGTCCTCAGAATGGGAAAAAATGTTTGCAAATTATGTCTGATAAAAGACTTTTACCCACAGTAGTTAAAGTCTTACAACTCAGCAATAAAAAGACAAATGCCTATTTAAAATGAGCAAAGGATTTGATGGACATTTCTCCAAAGAAGATAGACAGATGACCAATAAACATGAGATGCTCAGCATCATTAGTTATTAAGGAAATGTTAATGAAAACTACTATGAGATACCACTTTATACCTATTACACTCTACCATTGAGTCCATTCCAGCTCATAGCAACCCACCAGGACAGAGTAGAACTGCACCATAGGGCTTCCAAGGCTGTAAGTCTTTATGGAAGCAGACTGTCACATGTTGGGGTTTGAACCACTGACCCGGTGGTTAGCAGCTGAGCACTTAACCGCTGTGCTGCCTGGGCTCCTCTTACACCCATTAGGATGGCTGAAATGAAAGACGACAAAAGTTGGGGAGGATATGGAGAAATTAGCAATCTTGTATACTGCTGGTGGGATTGTCAAGTGGTACAGCTGCTTTGGAAGACAGCTTGACAGTTCCTCAAATGTTAAAAATAGAGTTACCATAGGATTCAGTTTTATTCCTAGGGATATACCGTAACATCTTTTACCCTAACATCTTGATAGGCTAGGAAGGAGAAATTAGGATACATCCACACAAAAACTTATGCATGAATTTTTATAGCAGCATTATTCATAATAAGCAAAAAGTAGAAACAACCCAAATGATCACCAGCTGATAAATGGATAAAATGCAGTACATCTATAAAAAAAAAATCTCCAAAAACCAAACTTACTGCCATGGAATGGGATCCGACTCATAGTGACCTCTCTTTGGGTTTCCAAGGCGGTATCATTAGAGAAGTAGATTGCCCAATTTTTCTTCCACAGAGTGACTGGTGGGTTTGAACCACCAGCTTTCTGGTTAGCAGTCAAATGCCTCAGACGCTATGCCACTGGAGCTCACCCAGTACATCTGCACAATGGAATAAAATAGGGATGAAATACTGGTACGTGCTGCAGTGTGGATGAAACTTGAAAACTCTGCTAAGTGACAGCCATAAACAAAAGGCCATATACTATATGATTCCATTTGTGTGAAACTGTTCAGAATAGGAAAATCTATGGAAACAGAAATTAGATCTGTGGTTGCCAGGGGCTGGGGAACTAAAGAGTGACTGCTAATAGGGTTTTTTGGGGGATGATGAAAATGTTCTAAATTTAGGTAGTGATAATAGTTGCACAATTCTGAGTTACTAAAAACCAGTGGATTGTGCATACTTTAAAAGGGTAACATTTATGTTTTGTGAATTATGTCTCAGTCAAGCTATTTTAAAAACTCTATAAAGATACTGATTTTATGAGGGGGGAAGGACATAATCTCTTATACAAATATCCATCTGTAACACTTTCATTTACCTGTTTTCTCGAATTTGAATAGTCATTAGACTTCATATAGCCAAGAAACAAAACAAAAATTTAAAACTAGGTTTTTTTCCCAAAATATTTTATCAGTTCTTGGCAAGAATTTCTGGGTAAAGTAATTTATTCATCATGAATAAATTGGGATTATAGCCCAATTGTAGACTTTAAATTAACAAATTAAAGACTATTTTATTAAGGCATTTTTAATGCTTAACATTTTAGTCCACAGTACCACTTTCAATAGTTGCCCGTTTTTTATTGTAGGAGAGAGTCAGAAAGGAGAAACCATTCATTAGCTCGTCATGCAGATATCCTTGCTGCTGTTGAAACAAGACTATCACTGTTAAATATGACTTTCATGAAGTATGTGGATTCCAATCTCTGTTGCTTCATCCCAGGAAAGGTAAAGTAGAATTGCTTACTTAGAACAGCTGGATTACACTGTGTAAATTATAAATTATTATAAAGTACTTTTTGAATTGACACAGTTGTTTACCTTATGAAGGACTCTCTATGAATGTTTGTTTAGCTTCTGTACTTTTATCACTATAAATATGTATTATTTATGTGACTTTTACATTTATCATTCTAATTATGAAATATACAGTAGAAGCCTTTTGTGCTTTAACAAGAAACTTGTTAAGATTTCATACTGAAGGAAATTTTTTTGAGCTTTTGCTTTTTGTTAAGATGCCAGAGATAATAACAGTGAACAAGCTAGGTCTGTCTTTGCCTACAAGATTTGTTTAATTTTGGGGAGGAGCAAACTGGTTTTTGTCCCATTCAAGAAATGTTGCTTGAATACAATATATAAACTCAGATTTGGACACAGAATAAATGATTGCCAAATTGCAGTATACTCAGAGCTAAATAATAGTGCTATTTAATGTAGAAATAAGTTTATTGTGACCTAAATTACTAAATTAATAAAGTTACTAAATTAATAAAGACAGCATACAGCATGTTATTCAAACCTTTGGTAGTACCTCATTTCTTGGGTTGAGTATATATACATTTAGATGGAATATGTCTAGTATGTTTTTATATAGAAAGAGTAAAGATGGAATTTTTTTTTCTTTTTTGAAGATGGAATTAAAGGTCATTTTGCTACTTAGTTGAACCTGGCAAAAGAGTCACTTAATATAGTTGGAACTGATTAATACCTAGTGAAATTAGAATATTCCCATTATTGTTTCCATAGATTTTTAAAATTGGAATATTTTGCATGTTCTTTCTCCATTTTCAATTTTCTATGACATTTATTTTTGGGAGAAATGCTGTTTCTTGTTTTATTTGACATTTTCCTTGGTATATCTCACTTGCCTTTTATTAGTTACAAATGCTTTTTGTAAGGTACTATAAAAGGGTGACCAGTTAAAAACTTTAAATTCTGAGTCTTATGCTGGATTTTATGGCCTTGGTGATAGAAATGATGCTGGAGATTGCATGATAGAATTTTACAAGACCAACAACTTATTCACTGCAAATACCTTTTTTCAACAACATAAACGGTGGCTATATATATGTCAGCCTCATCAAATGGAATATACAGGAATCAGATTGACTACATCTGTGGAAAGATGCAATGGAGATGCTCAATATCTTCTGCCAAAACAAGGCCCAGGAGCTGATTGTGGAACAGACCATCAATTGCTCATATACAGCTGAAGATAAAATAAGTCTGCAAGAGCCAAAATATGACCTTGATTATATCCCACCTGAATTTGGAGACCATGTGAAGAACAGATTTGACATGTTGAGCACAAATGACCTAAAACCAGAGGAATTGTGGGATGACATCAAGAATATCATCCATGAAGAAAGCAAAAAGTCATTTAAAAGACAGGAAAGGACATTAAAAAGACCAAAATGGATGTCACAACAGACTCTGAATCTTGCTTTTGAGCAGAGAGTAGCTAAAGCAAATGGAAGAAATAACAGGATAAAAGAGCTGAACAGACGATTTCAAAGAACAGCTTGAGAAGACAAAGTCAATTATTATAATGAAATGTGCAAAGATCTGGAATTAGAAAACCAAAAGGAAGGAATATTCTCGGCATTTCTGAAGCTGAAAGAACTGAAGAAAAAAATTCAAGCCTTGAGTTGCAATATTGAAAGATGCTACGGGGAAAATACTGAATGATGCAGGAAATGGCAAAAGAAGATGGAAGGAATACACAGAGTCGTTGTGCCAGAAAGAATTGGTTGATGTTCATCCATTTCAGGAGGTGATATATTGTCAAGAACCAATGGTATTGAAGGAAGACGTTGAGCTGCACTGAAGGAATTGGCAAAGAACAAGGCCCCAGGAATTGACGGAATAGCCATTGAGATGTTTCAACAAATGGATGTTGGGCTGGAGGCACTTACTCATTTATGCCAAGAAATTTGGAAGACAGCTACCTGGCCAACTGACTGGAAGAGATCCATGTTTGCACCCACTCCAAAGAAAGGTGATCCTACAGAATGTGGGAATTACCGAACAATATCACATGCAAGTAAAATCTTGCTGAAGATAATTTAAAAATGGTTGTAGCAGTATATTAGCAGAGAACTTCCAGAAATGCAAGCTGGATTCAGAAGAGGACACGGAACGAGGGATATCATTGCCGATGCCAGATGGATCTTAGCTGGAAGCAAAGAATACCAGAAGGATGTTTACTTGTGTTTTATTGACCATGCAGAAGCATTCCACTCTATAGATCATAACAAATTATGGATAACATTGAGAAGAATGGGAATTCCAGAACACTGTATTGTGCTCATGAGGAATTTATAGACATAAATATATAGACACTCATGAGGAATTTATAGACATACCAGGAGGCTGTCATTCAAACAAAACAAGGGGATACTGCATGGTTTAAAATCAGGAAAGGAGTGTGTCGGGACTGTGTCCTTCCACCATATTTATTCAGTCTGTATGCTGAGCAAATAATCTGAGATCCTAGACTATATGAAGAAGAATGCAGCATAAGGATTGGAGGAAGACTCACTAAAAACCTGCGATATGCAGACAACACAGCTTGCTGTTGAAAGTGAAGATGACTTTAAGCACTTACTAATGAAGATTAATAATGCAATCTGCAGTATGGATTATACTTCATCATAAAACAAAAATCCTCACAACTGGACCAATAAACAGCATCACGATAAACGGAGAAAAGATTGAAGAGGTCAAAGACTAGTTGACTTGGTTCCACAATCAACACCAATGGAACCAACAGTCAGGAAATCAGATGTTGTATTGCATTGGGCAAATCTGCTGCAAAAGACCTGTCTAAAGTGCTAAAGAGCAAAGATGTCTCTTTGAAGACTAAGGTGCACCTAACTCAAGCTATGGTGTTATCGGTAGCCTCATATGCGTGTGAAAGCTGTACAGTGAATAAGGAAGACTGAAGAAGACTTAATGCTTTTGAATTCTGGTGTTAGTGAAGAATACTGAAAGTACTGGGGACTGCCAGAAGAACTAACAGATCTGTCCTGGAAAAAGTGCAGCCGGAATGCTCCTTGGAAGCAAGAATGACCAGATTTCATCTCTCCTACTTTGGTCATGTTGTCAGAAGGAACCATTCCCTGGAGAAGGATATCATGCTTGATGAAGTAGGAGGTTAGCAAAAGAGGGGAAGGTCTTCAACTAGCTGGATTGACACAGTGGCTGCAGCAGTGGGCTCAGGTATAGCAAGATTGTGAGGCTGGTGCAGGACCAGGCAGTATTTCATTCTGTTGTACAGAGGGTCACTGTGGATTGGAGCTGACTCAACGGCACCTAACAATGTAACAACACCATGCCCGGTTTTATCCAAATCTTATTTATATACCTTAACTCTTAAATAGTCCTGAGAAGCTTATTGTCCCAATATAGGTTGTCCCCCTGTAGTTTTATAGTTTTCATTATGTATCTCATTGTTAAGAGTATAAATGTAAGGATTCTCTTACAGCTTTCATAATCTCAGAGACTTTTCAGTCACTTACTAACTAATGGAAAAAAGACCAGTAAATATTGAAAATATGTGAACATGTGTGTGTCATGTTAATAAAAACTGGTGTCACACCAAAGTGTCACAGACTATACAGCAAAGTTTGATTGGAACACAGTCAAGCCCATTCTTTCAGGTTCTGTCTGTGGCTGCTTTCATGCTATAAGGCAGAGTTGTGTACTTTGTGACAGTCTGTATCACCTGCAAAACCTAAAATACTTAAGTAGCTGGCCTTTACAGAAAATGTTACCAACTTCTATTGTAGTTGATCAAGATTTCATAGTTGGAGTGATGCTTTGATATCTAAACAAGTGAGATTAAATTCAGTAAGTCCTGCTGTTATTTAGAAACCACTTCCTGACTTTTACTTTAAATTCTAGTACCAAAATAAAACTACAAAATAGAGGTGACTGCAATGGAGAGCATCTTAAGTTCTCAAGATGCAGTAAGTCCTGTTGGCCATTTGCTCTGCACAGTTCTTAATCTGAAGCCTTTATCTTACTTCAGTTTCATACCTAAGTTTACCTTATAACTATCCCTTTCTCCTTGATAGTACTCATTTCCTCACAAATATTGTCACAATTTCTTTCTCTCCTGCAAATCTGAACTTGAGTGGAAATAAGCAACCAAGAAAACAGAAATAATATGATATATTCAAATATATGTCCCAAAACCAAACCCACTGCCATCCAGTTGGTTCCAACTTATAGCATCCCTTGTAGGACAGAGTAGAACTGCCCTATAGGTTTTCCAAGGCTGTAAATCTTTACAGAAACACACTGCCTCATCTTACTCCAGAGTGGCTGGTAGGTTCAAACTTTCAAACCTTTTGGTTAGCAGCCAAATGCTTTAACCACTGCACCCTGTCACACTTAATTCAGCTTGGATTATTTTTGTTTTTTAAAATTGTTGTCTTTATAGTTTATATCTTGCCTAAAACAACATTGTGTACACTCAGAACACTGTTTTATTTTTACATAGCTGGTACTCTTTAGCTTAAAAGAAACCCAAACTCATTGCTGTCTAGTCGATTGTTACTCATAGCTACCCTATAGGATAGAAGGAAACTGCCCCATAGCATTTCCCAGGCTGTAATCTTTATAGAAGCAGACTGCCACATCATTCTTCCATGAAGATATTCTTAAAAATCAAAATTAATTGAAAGAATTTCTTGCTTTCACTATGCTTCTCCCAAAATACATATGTACAGTACATAAACCTTTAAAATAAGGCGTGGTCTCTCTTCATATTGCTTTTTTTAGATCTCTCCCCACCGGCCATCTTGTATAACTATGGAACTAGGCTTATACCCTCCAGGCAATAATTAACTATAACCAGTTATTTCCAGTGAAATAGCTCAACTACAGATCATCCTATAATGATTAATGCCACCATTTTTAATCCCCTATCCTGTGTGCCAGAG